AAGGAGAGAGAGCAACTCAACTGGGAAATGAAAAATCGTCAACGTGACTGGGGCAGTTGGAGAGGTAGGCAGGACCTGATCATCCAGAAGGAGTCGGTTGGTATCCTGAGGGCGATGAGGAGGCACTGAGAGATTCTAAGTAGCACCCACCTCACCCACTCTATTCTTCATGCTCAGATCCGCACTTTGGGAAGCTCGCTCCACCATCATCATGGAGAATAAATTAGAGGGAAGGCGAGGTTCTGGGCAGGAATAGGTGACTGTGGCAGGATTCCATGCCTGTGATGATAATGGCCTGAACCAAAGAAGTAGTAAAATGTACTGGGAGCCTAAGATCAATGGGACTTATGATTGTGCACCAAGTGTGAGGGCAAGGGAGGAGTCTAGAATGATGCCCAGGAGCCTGGGAGCACGGTGATGTCACAGACTGTCATCAGGGGACAGAGGAGGAAGGGGTCAGGGGAACGGGCAGCAGGAAGAGCAGAGCTGAGGCACATCCTGTGAGGGAGCTGTGTCTTCAGGAGCTGTCTTGGCCAGAGACGGATGTCTACGACATAGCAGCAAGAGAGGAGGAACAGAAGCCAGGAGCACGGCTGAATGGGAAGAGCAGAGACTGATGATGGAGCCGAGGAAAGATCAGCATTTAGAGACAGACAGAAATCCATATAGTCCAAAGTATCTCCCATACGGGATACTTAGCAATTGTGATGGAAAAAAAGTAACTTTACAACAGAGAAACCTGGCAGACACCACTTTAACCAAATGATCAACATTACCATTGCCAGGAATGGGACAAATAGCCATCACATGCCTCCGAATATGATGCATGGAGAAGGACACAACATCACTTCTGTAATATTCCTGCCCCAAGTGCAGAATCTGAGTCTAATCATCTGGGAACATCAGACAAACCCTTACTGAAGGACATTCTACAAAATAACTACCCCGTACTCTTCAAAGACGCCAAGATTATGAAAGACAAAGAAAGAGGGGCACCTGGCTGACTTAGTTGGAAGAGCGTGTGACTCTTGATCTTGGGGTCGTGAGTGTTCAAGCCCCACGTTGGGTGCAGAGATTACTTAAAAAATTTTTTCTTAAAGAAAAGAAAGAAAGCTTGAGAAACTGTTCTGGATTAAAGGATACTAAGGAACGAACAAAAACTAAAGAATTCAATGTATAATCCTGGATTAAATCCCAGACCAGAAGAAAAAAGTCTTTTAAAAAATTTACTACTAATGTTACTTTGGGACAATTAGCAACATTTGACATAAAGTTCACAAATTAGACAATAGCACTGTGTCAGTGTTTTCCTGAGTCTAACCATTGTTATGGTGTGAGAAAATGCCCTTTTAAAGAAAAACCAATAGAAGTATCTAGGGGTAAAGGAGAATCATGTCAGCAATTCACTCTCTATGGTTCAGGAAAAAAGGTAATACAGATGGATAGATGGATAATGATAAAGCAAATGTGATAAAATGTTAACCTTTGCGGAAGCTGCATACAAGTGGACTGGAATTCATTGTGGCATTCTTTTCAACTTTTCTGTAAATCTGAAACTAATTTGAGGTTGTATTAAGTGCTAAATACTTTTTTTAAAAAAGATTTTATTTATTTGACAGAGATAGCGAGAGCAGGAACACAAGCAGGGGGAGTGGGAGAGGGAGAAGCAGGCCTCCCGCGGAGCAGGGAGCCCGATGCGGGACTCGATCCCAGGACCCTGGAATCATGACCTGAGCCGAAGGCAGATGCCTAACGACTGAGCCACCCAGGCGCCCCAAGTGCTAAATACTTTTTAAACGGAGTTGAAAACTGACTTGTCGTTTCTCTAAGAACTTCAACTTCCATCTCCACCCCTTCCTCCCCTTTGCAATGTAACTATCCCTTCATTCTTTTGGAGCTCATCCCAGCATTCTTTTATAAGTTGTGCTTCTAGGGGCGCCTGGGTGGCTCAGTCGTTAAACGTCTGCCTTCAGCTCAGGTTATGATCTCAGGGTCCTGGAATCGAGCCCCGCATCAGGCTCCCTGCTCAGCAGGAAGCCTGCTTCTCTCTCTCCCTCTGCCTGCCTCTCTGCCTACTTGTGCTCTCTATCTCTCTGCCAAATAAATAAAATCTTTTTTTTAAAAAATTGTGCTTCTCATGTATATAACATAAAAATTGCCATTTTAACCATTTTTAAGGGTACAGTTCAGTAGCGTTAAGCATATTTACACTGTTGTGCAACAGATCTCTGTAAGTCTGAAATTATATTTTTTTAAAGATTTTATTTGTAAGTAATCTCTACACCCAATGCAGGGGCTCGAACTCACAACCTTGAGATCAAGAGTCACATACTCTACTGACTGAGCCAGACAGGCTCCCCAGTCTGAAATTATTTTAAAAGAAAAGTTAAGAAAAGAAGGCAGAAACGGCGCCCAAGGAGGAGACAGAAAGAAGGTACGGATGGATGCAAAGGAGAAACAGTGGACCATGAGGTGCTAACAGCCCAGGGAGGAGAGTGTCAAGGGGATGTTTGTGGTCCGAGGGGTCAATGCTGCGGAAAGGCCACATAAATGTAAGGGGGAGACAAGGCAAACAAACCCTGCAAGTTTTGCTCTAGAAAACTCTCCATTCTCCATCCACGGGTGCTACTGGTAGGGAGGGAAGCCTAGAATATTCTTTGACACCACTGACTCCATGAAAGAGAAGATGGCTGCAGAGTTTCTGCCGGTGTTCCCTGTGGCTGAAGGTGGAGACCAAGGGGTAGCCTGCATTTTGGTTTGGAAGGTGTCTCATGGGCCCACGGCTCACCCCCCGGTAACCCCTCTCACCACCCTCACCTGAGAAGGAGAGCTGAATCCAAAGGGAACTGAAGTTACCCTGTGTAGAGCTGGGTAAGTGTTATTTCATGGGCTCCCGGTGCCCCGGTGACCCCAGAGGTGCGACCTTGGGATGGACCTTGGCATTATGGGAAACAATGAATGTGGGAGGAAATTCTCTGTAGGGAGCAAGAAGGCTCCAGCAACAGAGCAGGAGACCGGCCAAGAAGAGAGGCTGCTGGAAAGAGGTTCCCCTGGGCCACTGGCCAGCAGACATCAGGAACGTGGGTTCACACCTGGTGTTCTCCACGCTCTCCATGCCATCATTCCCAGGATTTAATAATAGCCTCTTCCACCCAGTGCTGCTGGCCGAGTGGTGTCCTTGGACATGAAGACAAGGGCTGTGTTCATATCTGGGAATGACTCGAATCAGAGAGTGAGGCTTGAGACAGCCACAGGAACAGGACGGGAATACTTCAGAGAGAAAACTGCAAGAGTTTAAAAACATATGCAAACCATATGCCTTCAGGAATATTGGGGATCATGCCCCACTTATACATGTTACACCCACATGCTGAATCTTCCTTTGTTAATTAAAGAGTGACCTCGGGCAGTCAAAGGAACTAGGGACATTCAGGCCACAGAACTGAAACCGGTTATTGGGGATGTCCATGACCTTGGCAAGAGCAGATTCAGCACAGAGCTTTGGCAAAAACCCCCTCCAGAGAGCCAGCAGAGCACAGGTGGGGAGAAAGGAAAGGCAGCCTATGTACAACTCATTCAAGGTTTATGGCTGTGAAAAGGAGGAGGACATTGCTAGCGAGAGTCGTCTGCCTAGAAACAGAATTTTGTCTCAAGATGAGAAAGACTTCGAGTGAGGGGGAAAGCCAGTAAGGAGGGAAAGACTGAAGATTTAGGGGAGAAACTAAACAACAGCAGTGAGATTTGGTTGGTTCTAGGGCATTGCTCATTGGAAAGAATGTCAAACCCCTACAGGATAGGGGCTCAGTCCAAAAACCATCCGGGTGATGCTCCAGAGTTCAGCATCATCATTTTTATCTTGAGCCTTGGGAACCAACTGGCTGAGTCACTAAGACCAAGCCATTCTCCTCTACCTTTTCTGTTTGGTGGTGTGGGACCCTCTGCTCAACAGGTGACACTAGACTAAGGCTTCCTCATGGCCAACCTTCATATACTTGGTTACATTTAATTCTCACAGCAGCCCCCAAGTAGGCATTACCCCCCATTTTATAGATGAGCACGTTGAGGCTCAGAGAGATTGAAGAACAAGCAGCAAATAGCAGAGGAGGAACACAAGCCTGGACCTTATCCCAAAGTTCATTGTTTCCTCACTCCAGCCCTTGGGAAATATATTCTAATGCCCCCGAGTTAAGAAAATTATGTCCGATTACCTACAAAATCGATAGTTATTACCAAGCTTTTTAGCTGACACCTCCCTGGGTTTTCCGAATTACAGAAATGGGTGCTTCTATCTCTAGAACCACAGAAACCTGAGCCCACATAACCTGTTCGAGTTGCTTCTCTCAAAACCCAGAAACTTTTCACCATTGCTCCTGAAATTTCTCCCCCAGGCCATGGAGCTTTAGAACTGCTGAGAAAGCGGGATGCCTGGGTGGCTCAGTCGTTAAGCATCTGCCTTCGGCTCAGGTCATGATCTCAGGGTCCTGGGATCGAGCCCCGCATCGGGCTCCCTGCTCCGCAGGAAGCCTGCTTCTCCCTCTCCCACTCTCCCTGCTTGTATTCCCTCTCTCGCTGTGTCTCTTTCAAATAAATAAATAAAATCTTAAAAAAAAAAAAGAACTGCTGAGAAAGTGGATAAAAGAAGAGCAGGTCTTGGCGTGGGCCTCCAGGGGCTCCAGCAACAGAGCGGGAGACTAGCCAAGAGGTCACAGTTCTAGGTGCTCCTGTTCATCTCTGAGGCACCTCCAAGAAACCCCAGGACGTCGTGGAACACCGTTTAACAGCCACGGCTTTTGGTCAGAAAGTCTAGCTTTTTTCCTTTTTTAGTGAAGACACTGAAGCCCAAAGAAGTGATCTGCCTAGGGCCGGTCACCAGAGAGTTAAGTGCATTACAAATCCCAATAACCTGTTTATTTCACAGCTGTGAAATCCAGCTTTCTCTGATAGAGACTGCTAGATGCCCGCCCAACCCAACAGCAACGCTGTTTCTCCCCCTTGGTAACAGAACCCCAAGTTTATTCAGAGTAGCATTACACCCTGTTGATGGACTAATTTTCCCACCTCCCTTCAGCTGGATCCAGCCATTAAGTTCTAGCCAGTGAATTGCAAGCAAAAAGTATAGTATGGTTCTTCCAGGAAAGTCTCTTTAAAAGAAGGTATAGGCCCTTCTCTCTTTCCTCTCTCCTGCTGCTTGGAAGTCAGTTGTGACGTGTTACTGTGATATGTTGAAACAAAGTGGCCACCCTGCAGGTCCCACCTCTTACCATGGGCACCTTCCTATGATACCTCGATTCCCATGCTTGCCTTCCTCTGTTCCCATCCGACTCAGCAAGGGCCCATCTCTCTTTGTCCTTCTCCGAACACACACCACGAAACGGCACTCTTGTTCCCCCAACAGCGATCCAGTCACGGCATTGTCCCACCGTGTCATCTGTCCTGATTCCTCTCACCGATCCCTGCTTGCCCAGTCGACCCTGAGCCATTGCCCCTTCCCTTTGATTCAGCCAACTACTTTTCAAAGGTTTCTCCTCAGATGGATTCAGACCGGGAAGTCCCGAACATCCCCCAGGATAAGAACTTGTAAACTGAATCTCAGCAAAAAAGAGCAAAACACTTCCATCCCCACGTGTCTGAGTGACACGGCCATGAGCACGAGCCCTGGCTGGGCCACTTAGCAACTGGGTGACGCTGGGCCACTTAACCTTCCTTTGGCTGCTTCCTTGGCTGGAAACTGGGAATAACAGCATGTAACCTACCTCGTAGGGCGAAATGATGAGAAGCAGGTGAAGCCCCCAGAACAGTGCCTGCAGCATGATAGGTATTCAAGAAATACCATTTGTTATTATTTAACCATGTGTTACTCTTTTATACCTTCCTCCATCTTTTCGTGTTAAAAGCAAAAGCCTGGCTAGGCTCCGCCTCCCACCAGCCTCTGATTAAGGAGAGGCCTCATCGGGGCTTCCCGGTGCCTCGGTTATCAGTGTTTCTGTGGCTCCTGCCTCCTCCCCGTCCTGTCCTTCAAAAAGCCAAGCAACAGGGCAGCTCGCCTGTCCTCCCAGGTCTCCCAGGGCACATCCGTCCCCAGGTCAGCATCCATCGCACCGCCTCACTCAGATGATTCCTAGCCATTCTCTCAACTTAGAGGGGCCTTCAGGAGGATCTCTCCACTTCCAAAGCATTTTTAAAATACTTTTTTGTAAAAAAAAAAAAAACAAAAAACAAAAAACAAACACTTTAAAAAAGTAAACAATTTGGTGAATAATGTTGATTTGCTTTGTGAAATTTTAGGACAAAGCCAAGTTACCTTATCCATGTCATTAAAATACACACAAACACACACATTCCATTCCATTCTAAACTCATAGGCATCAAAGCACCCAGCTGAGGTCTGAACAGCATGTTTTTGCTAACGGTCTCCAGTTGGGAAGGAAGGACAGATCAGGTCTGGGAGCAAATCTCTGTGGGAAAACCACAGTACAGTTTGTCTTGGAGCAACTTGCTCCAGAGTCGAAATCCCAGTACCATTTAGAGATAGCTCTAACCAAGGAAAAACAAAACCTGAACATTTCTGAAAGAATGCATCAAGGTCTACTGCCTACAATCACTGCCGAACTTGCTATCATGATAGACAGAACTTTTATGCTTATTATTTGTAATGATAACAGCGATCCAAAAAAATCAGTAACTTTTCACTGTGCGGTTACTGGGTGCCCCGCACTGTTGTGCTTCGTGGGATTTGATTCATTTTACTCACGCAATTAACTTTTAGCGGAGGAGGTGCTCAAGAAGAAGGGCTCTCGGGTCACCTGGGTGGCTCAGTTGGTTGAGCGACTGACTCTTGGTTTTGGCTCAGGTCGTGAACTCATGGGTCAGGGGATCGAGCCCCATGTCGGGCTCCATGCTCAGTGCAGTCTGCTTGTCCCTCTCCCTCTGCTCTTTTCCCTGCTCACTCTCTCGCGCTCTCTCAAATAAATAAAATCTTTTAAAAAAAAAGGAAGGAAGGAAGGCTCTCAGTGGGACAGCTGTAATGACCCCAGGCCTTCAATTCCCCATCTATAAAGTGGGGGATAATACCAGCCAGGGACAGTGGTTGTGAGGATTAGATGAAATCATGTAGATAGAGCAGGTGAGCCCAAGGTTTTCCACTGTCATTTCAGAGGCATTGAGATTTGAATGACATATTTGAAAAATAGGCACTATATTAATTTTTTAAAACACAGCAGGAAATGGGAAAATTTAAGATTCTAGAGTATTTCAGTCTGCCCTTCAAGATGTCCGTCCTGCTGGAGGTGAACTTGGGAGTGGTGTTTGATCTCTTGGTCCCGGGAGCCAGTCTCTGCTAGCGTCATTCCACATCAAAGGAGACAAGGAGTAGTGGGAGAAACCGAAGTGCTGCCCACACTTCAAAGGCAGTCCTCTTCCGGAAGTTGCGAGGGCCTCCCAGGCAGGGTAAACAAGAGCTCCGCTCCGGGGACTCCCCGCGAGGTACAGCGACCTCCAAGACATCCCCCCGGCTTCCACGCTGGGACTTGGCACTTCCCGCCCGGGGTCCAAACAGCACGGCGGGGAACCAAGGGGCCGCCCTGTATAGAGAATGTTGGCCCGATGCCTTCCTCCCGCAGCAGGACATTAACGCGCGGCCAGCAGGCTCCGACTCAGAGTGGACCGTCCGCGAAGTCTCGGCCCCTGCGGGCGGTGGCCCCTCTCTTGCCTTCTGCGCACCGTCAAGTCCACTCGGACAGCTCTGATGCCTGTGCTTCCACCGGGTGCCTGACGCATGGCATGGCTAGGTTTCAAAATCACAACCAGAAATAAAGCACTATTTGGGGGCGGAGATGGCAGGGATGGGGGGCGGGGGGGAGGAAGGGGGTGTGAAGAAGGTGCCTAAAATGATCTGCTTTCTCCTGCACGGGTGCTCTGGGCCCAGCATGTGAAATCCCCCTCCCCGGCCCCCCGCCCTCCTGCCGTGGGCCCTCGGCTAAGCTGGCGGCGGACAGACCGGCCCCAACCCGTGGGTGGCCCACTTTTCAGTGACAGAGAGGAACAGAGACAGGTTGAGACGGCTTGGGGAATTTCGTGGCGCTCCCCAATCGGTTGGGGACATGGCCAAGCGTCGGCTGACCCTCTCGTGGGCCCCGGGGTACCGCCTTGGCCCGCTCGGACTCCTCCTCCCCACCGCGCGCCCGCGCCCCCACAAGACCTCAAGCATCCCCCTTGCCCCCCCCCCCGCGCGTTCACAGCCTCTCAACACCCTACTCACCCCCGGCCCACGCGCCCCTCCCAGACCCCCGAGCACATTCCCGACCCCCCCCCCCGCGGTCCCATCTCTAACCTCCCCCTCGGCGGGCGCACCCCCGGTTCGCTCCGGACCCCCCCCACCCCCCCCAGCCGAGCCGGCTCGGGGCGGGGGCCCGGATGCGGGGACGTGCCGCACGTGCGCCGCGCGGGGATTGGCAGCGCCGGCCCCGCCCGCGCCCCCGCGCGCCCGCCGAGCTCCCGGGCCCGCCTCGCCCAGGGACGCCCCGCGCCGCCGCGCCTGCGGCTGGTCCGGAGGGCGGGGGCTGCGGGGTCCGCCGGCCCCAGCGGCGCGGGAACAATGACCGCCCGACGGGAAGGGGGGGGCGCGGCCTCCAGGAAGCGCCCCGACTGCACCCGTGTTCCCTCGCTCGGCGGTGCTAAGACGAGCTTGCTCCGAGGAGCTGCAGATGCTGTTTCAAACGGGTGGAAATAGTTTCTGTAAGTGATGAAAAAATTTTCCGCTTTATGCGGTTGTTCGGCTGGGGCGCAGCGCAGTTAAGTCCCAGCGTTCTTCGGGAAGGAGCCAGGAGGTTTACTGCATCCTCCGACCTGTGAATTTCGGGGGGGGGGGGACAGTTAAGAAGGAGCCTGAGCATTTTACCGCAGCTGGCGGGGCTTGAGAGAGTGACAAAGGCACTGCTCCTGTCCGTGGCTCGGGGACTGATTCCCCCCCTCTGTTCAGGGAACCAGAAATGTGTCCGTTAAGGGACTGGTGACGGCTGGGCTTAGCCCCCGAAGGTTCCCCAAAGGAGGCGATTTGAGCGGAGGTTGTAGGTGCCCGGCCCAGGACTGGGCAGGACTGGAAGAGCAGCCTGGGATGGACTGGGGGAGGGGGAGGAGAAGGAGGAGGGAGCTCCCACGGGCTACTTGGGGACAGGAGGCAGCAAAGGCGCCCGCAGCCCTCAGTGATTCTCGGCTGTGACCCGCACAGGGCCTGTCGCTCCTCGTCCCAGCTGCAGCCAGCCAATGAAAGATAGACGCAGGGGACCCCCGAGCCAATGGAAACCTCCCGGCCTGCGGAGGACTTGCCACTGGAAACATTTATGGACACCTGGCCAAGAGGCTTCCCTTGGGGGTTGCCTTTCCAGAAGTCCAGGACAGGTGCGTATCAAGGGCCAAAATCCCAGGAGCGTGTTCAAGTACTCATTCTTTAGGATCAGAGCCCCTGCTGCTTGTAAAGACATACAAACGCCATTATAAAGGGCGAGGGAGCGAAGAAGAAAGGGAGGAGGGCAGGCGGGAAGAAACGTGCTCGCTGACCCGACCATCGTAGAAGCTGGTGAAGGGTTCCTCCCACTGTCCTATGCCCTCAGTCATTTTCCCCGCGATAAAGTTTAACACCTTGCATTTGTGTCGTGCTTTACAGTTTCCAGACGGCTTTCACATGAGTGATTTAGCTGGTAATCACTCTAACCTATAGTACTCATAGGTAACCAGTGGAGGAAGTGACACTCAGGCGTGTTCAACCATATACCCAAAGAGATGCAGCTGCCAGTGATAACGGTGGGACTAGAGCTCAGGGGTCCTGACTGCAAACCCAGGGCTCTTTAAATGCATCCCAGGAAGGAAACCAGGCCTGCTTTATGATTTCTGGTGCCCAGGGCACACCCAGCAATTAAAATGAAATCCAGAAGGATGAGGTTAATTTTGTTTCTTAGTCATCGCTCTTTCAAACTGTCCCCTTGAAACACCGGTTGGCTCTGCCATTATACACCTGGGTGTGAAGAAGAGATGTGACGGACTCACTGCGAGAAAAGCCAGTGCTGGAGGTAAGAACAGATTGGGGGGGAAAGGGGGTGAAGATGGGTCACCAACTGTGGCTTTCTTCCTTAGCCATACCTATCATTAGGTCAACTCAAGATCTGTGGCCCTCTGTCTTCTCTCATACTGGTTGCCCACTGGAGAGGTATTTTCTTGTCCCGGGCTCTGCCTGCACAAAATAGTCTACACCCAAGGGGCCGTCTGAAGCCTGCACCTCGGTCACGGCCACGGTCCCACCCCTGAGGAAACAAAGACACGCCCCCCTCCCACGGCCATGACAACATTGTTAAAATGAGTTTTGCTCCTAGAGGACGGTCACTTCAGCACTCACTGCGTCTCTGCCACAGTCCCAGATGAAGACTCTGGCGTGTTCAGCAAAGTGGGTAATCCTCAGTGGTCCCCAAGGCTGAATGGCCTTCACAGTCAAGCTTTTTAAAAATGCACATCACTGAACACGTCTCTGGGTTGGGATTCAGGAGGTCCTGGATGTGTGCTATTTGTTTTGTTTTATTTTATTTATTTATTTGCTAGAGAGAGAGAGCGAGCCAGAGCACAAGCAGGGGGAGCTGCAGGCAGAGGGAGAAGCAGGCTCCCCGCTGAGCAAGGAGACTGATATGGGGCTCCATCCCAGGACCCTGGGATCATGACCTGAGCCGAAGGCAGACTCTTAACCCACTGAGCCACCCAGGCGCCCCTATTTGTTTTGTTTTAAACACCCTGAAGTGATTTAGGTGATCGGCCAGGTTTGGAACGACTTTCATCTGAATTGGTGGATTATTGGTCAAGCGAGGAGCCTGTCATTGAGATGTTCGAATTGCATACGAATGGGCAGAATGACAACACCATTCATAGGAGAGTCCAAAAGGGAACTAAAACTGCTCACGGTAGGAAAATTCTGTGTTGAGTGTACGACCTTAGAGGAATATAGGGCTAGGGAACTGAGAATGGTTGGGGACTTATTTTCACTAAAATGAAATTAAAGAGTCAGTACTCTAAATAGAGATAAGGTCAGTGGCTTATATTTGCGTGACTTCTGATCAATGGGCTGTGTTTGCTTCATTTCCTTACTCTCTAGATGCACGCTGTTCCTCTAGTAACCGCTAGCCACGTGTGGATCCTGAGCACGGAAATGGGGCCAGTCCAAACTGAAATTGCTGTCCATGTAAACTGCACACTGGATTTCAAAGACTTTGGAAAAGTAACAGCTAATGGACACCTTTAGCATTGATTATGTGTTAAAAGAATATTTTGGATCCCCTGAGTTAAATACATAATTAAAATTCATTTCACCTGTTTCTTTTTACGTGTTTTTACTGTGGCTCCTAGAAAACTTTAAATTGCATATATGGCCTGTGGGGGCTAAATGCATTCTTGATCTGGGTGATGGAGATACACATGTATGTGTGTACGTGCTGAAATTCAACTAACTGTGCCCTTAAGCCTTGGGTACTGCACTGCTGTATATAAATAAAAATCAGTTTTAAAAAATTTAAAAAACAGGAACGCCTGGGTGGCTCAGTTGTTAAGCGTCTGCCTTTGGCTCAGGTCATGATCCCGGGGTCCTGGGATCGAGTCCCACATCAGGCTCCCTGCTCAGCAGGGAGCCTGCTTCTCCCTCTCCCACTCCCCCTGCTTGTGTTCTCTCTCTCTCTGACAAATAAATAAATAAAATCTAAAAAAATAAAAAATTTTAAAAACAAACTAACAATGGCTTCCTGTTGCATTTAGAACAAAAGCTAAGCTCCTCTCCGTGGCCACCCAAGACCTGGCCTACTCCTCTCCCTCACCGGACACCATTCTCCCCATGGCTCATTGACCTTGACGCTTTTCAGATGTGCTCGCCCATACCCATCTTGGGTATTTGCATTTTCCTCTGCTTGGAAGGTTTTTCTTCCAGATCTTCTTTGCTCCCATTCATGTCTCAGCTCAAACATACCTCCCTCTTCCCTGACTATCTATATTGGTTAGGATGTTTCTGGTCAAAAGAAACAAGAAACCCAAATTGGCTTAAACATTGAAGGGAATTTACTGGCTGTGAAACTATGAAGTCCAGAAGCAAATCAGACTCCAGCCAGGGTATAGTCAGGGCGCTGGATCCTTTTTACTATGATTCTCTCGGGGCTCCCCTCAATAGGTCACCTTAATCCTCATGCTGACCTCCTATATGTTAGCAAAATGGCTTCAACGAGTCCTAGCTTCCCATCCCTATTCCACCTCATCCAGAAGGAGAGAGTGTCATGTCCTCCAACACTCAAAGGAAAGTCCTGAACTTCACCCAACCAATCCCTTAGCCCAGGAGAACCCCACACACTCACTGGTGTAACCCTGAACCAGTCACTGCTCATAGGACCCTAATTAGGCTTAGGCCATGAAAGCCCCATGCCACCCACATCTCAAGGCTACCATGTATTTGAGCGATTCGAATGGGTGCTGGGGAGGCAGCTGATGTGTCCACTAGACCACCCTACCACCTTAAGTCACTATCTAGACCAGTGCTTGGCAAACTTTTTCTGTCAAGAAAAATAGTAGATAATTAGTGTTTGTGAGCCTCCTGAGGGTTTGTTTGTTTTATAATCCTTTAAAATACATAAATCAGGGCGCCTGGGTGACTCAGTTGGTTAAGCAACTGCCTTCGGCTTGGGTCATGATCCTGGAGTCCCGGGATCGAGTCCCGCATCGGGCTCCCTGCTCGGCAGGGAGTCTGCTTCTCCCTCTGACCCTCCCGACCCTCCCCCCTCTCATGCTCTCTCTCTCTCAGTCTCTCTCTCAAATAAATACATAAAATCTTTAAAAAAATAAAATAAAATAAAATACATAAATCATTCTTAGCTCATGGGCCTTACTAAAATAGGCCAAGGGCCAGATTTGACCCAAGGGCCACAGTTTGCCAACCCTGATCTAGACCACTGTGATGCTTGGGATGTCCAAATTGACCTTATTAATTTGTTTCCCCTGACTACAGTGTAAGCTCCGTGAGAGCAGGAACCGTGTGTCTTATTCACCACTGTCTTCTCAACACTTAAAATGGTGCTGTGCCCAGAGATCTCAATAAATACTCACTGGATGAATGACGATAAAAACTTTATGGCAGGGGTGCTTGGGTGGCTCAGTTGGTTAAGCGTCTGCCTTCGGCTTGGGTCATGATCCCAGGGTCCTGAGATCGAGCCCCGTGTCGGGCTCCCTGCTTAGTGGGGAATCTGCTTCTTTCTCTGCCCCTCCCTCCTGCTCCTCTCTCTCTCTCTCTCAAATAAAGAAATAAAATCTTTAAAAAAAAAAAAAAAAGAACTCCCTCTAATTCTAAAACAACAACAACAACAACAAAACAAAACAAAGCAGAAAAAAAACAAACCTTTATGGCAGAGTAGCAGGACCCAGTGCCTCGCTCTGGCCTGGCTTTTTCTGCCTTCCCCGTCTAGAGGACACACCTGTCCCCTACTGGGCAGGACTGCTGCTGGTCCATGAGATGTCTTTATGCAAACCAGGAAAAGGTGACCCCTCTGGCTGGTGCAGCCCTGCCCCCAGGACCGTGGTGGGGGGGTGAGCACTGGATCGTGTACAGAGGCTCTGGGGTGGAGTTCTGAGTCAAGAGTTCTAACATCTCATCTTCTGATACTATTCCCACACCTCTATGGCAAAATCCTATGCGTGTGCTCTGCTTGCTGCTTTGATTCTCTGTTCTTTCACCAACTCCCAACACCCTCTTGTTCCAGTTTTCCACAAAATGACTGCCATTTGCATGTATTGAAGTGAAATTCTCATTCGGTACTTGGAACTGCAACCAAGTGTAACAGCGTGTGGTACAGGGTCAGTGTGTGGTTGGGGAGGGATTTCTGTTTTGTGTGCTTACTCCACCTCAAGAAAGACTGTGGGAAACTGGAAAAAGGGCCAGCCAAAGTTGTCAAGGACATAGGGAAGCTACCATAAAAACACAGAGTGATATGTTGAGGGTTCTTCCATCTGGGAAGACAAAGGCTACGAAGGAGTAGCATCTGTTGGATCATGAATGTTATGGTTAGGGTGGTCATGAACTCATTCACCAAATCCTGACCAGACCAGGGTGCTCTACTTAAAGCTTGAGAGAATTGCGTGTAGGAAGAATAGAAGAAAATCTGACTTCACTCGGTGGGTGGTAAGCTCATGGAACTCATTACCCCAAGTAGGAGTCAGGCAGGAAATAAAAATGCCCAGTAAGGCTGTGGAAGGCAGCTGTTGACAGATTTTAAGGACTTCCAAGAGGAAGGAGAAAATGCCTTGGGATATCAGGATGGGCTCTTAGAAGCGGCCAACAGGGGGCGTAACTTGCTGTTCACATGGCTTCCCTTCATCTCCCCAACAGGGACAGAGTTCTAAGCAGGACAAGACCAGGAGGCAAGGCTGCCCTCTACCCCACGGCCTGGGCAGTCTGGAAGATCACCTTGCTCAGGGGTAGGGGGCCTCACGGATCAAAGAGTGACTTTCCCAGGGCTCCTGGGTGGCTCAGTCGTTAAGCGTCTGCCTTCGGCTCAGGTCATGATCCCAGGGTCCTGGGATCGAGCCCCGCATTGGGCTCCCTGCTCTGCGGGAAGCCTGCTTCTCCCTCTCCCACTCCCCCTGCTTGTGTTCCCTCTCTCGCTGTGTCTCTCTCTGTCAAATAAATAAATAAAATCTTTAAAAAAAAAAGAGTGACTTTCCCAACTTGGGTTTCTGTAGGCCAGCTACAATCTATTGCTGGGAATCTGGAGGTCACTGAGACAGTGGAATGATGTTTGTGGAAACTTCACATAAATGTCTACTCAGTGGAAACTCACCTGTTGTCATTACAACAGCTAACATATCATGTACCGTGTGCTGTTATAAGTACCTATTCATTGAATCCTCATAACGACCCTGTAATATGGGTACTATTATTTCCTCATCCTATTTGACAGATGGGAAAACTGAGGCACAAAGAAATAACTTTTTCAAGGTCCCACAGCTAGTAAGGGATCCAGGATTCAAACTCAGGCTGACTGACTCTGGAGTGTATCATTTCCCCATGAAACTGGGGTTAAGGCCACTCCTACAGTTCTGCTGAGGAAGACACTGCTCAGCTCCAGTCGGGTGTTGTCATGAAGGAAGGCAAGCCCATTGGGACCATGTGCGTGTTTTCAAGAAAAGTCCTGAGAGTCAGCACTCGGTTCTGGATTGAACAAACCGGGCTAAATCCAGCCTAAAGTCATCTGGCTCCTGACTTCGGCTCTACCCACACCAGCCCTCCATGTCTTACAGACAGGATGCTGTTGTCCATGTCCGGGGGCAACCAAGTTACTAGGCATGCGCTCTGAGCAGAGCAGGGGAGCCTGGTAGGACAGACTCGTGGGGCTGGGATGCTTCTGTGACTGGGGCTCTGTCCCTAATGGAACAGACTTGGTGCCCCTATCACTAAGCAATGACTGGTAATCTCTCTGCTCCCTTGGCAGTTCCAGGACCCAGTGAATCCATGAGTGCCATCACAGAAAGCAGCATCTAAGGCTCTAACGCAGAGAGAGAGGTTGGATGTGTGGGAAGATTGGCTCTGTGGCATATAGCTTGATAGTCTCTAATACACACATAAAGCACACAGAATGTGCAAAACCCTGGGTTACACCTTAGATCTGGCATGTACTGAGAAAATGGGCAAGGCAGAGACAGGCCCAGGAGCCTGTGGCATCAGGTGGAGCCTTCATTCAAGGTCGCCCCATAGGGTTGGGCAGGTTGTGCACTGCAGCTCGAGTGCACAGGGAAGACTGGGTGCCTTTTTCTAGTTTGCACAAAGGCACTTTCTGTTTGCTAACTGAGCACTCCTGAGGCTGTGTCTGCCCAGAGGAAGGACCTTTTCTAATTCATATCAAGTCTCCATAGGTACCGTGGGGACCCTGAAGAAATTTGGGGCACTGTTCTACAGCACAGAGCCTGATGCACCACCTCAGGACAGGGCTCTGAGCTCAATGACGGGACCAAGCTCAGGACACCAGGATCCAGAGCCCTCACTCCCCTGTGCCCTGCACAGTCCCAACCAGCCAGTGCTCCTGGGGGGAAGAAGAGGGAGGGCAAGGAGGCCAGCCTGCAAGAGAACCTGGTTCAGCTTCCTCATCCCAACCCCCGTGAGGAGAGCAAGGTCTACCCAGCCCCTGGGAGCAGGAAGTGGGAGAAAAGGCCACACCCGGGCACACGACCCTTTATTGCACAAGAGCCCCACCCCTCATAAACGTGGCGGAAACAGTGTCCTGGATCCTGACCACACAGATTACAGCAGCCACCTGGAGGGAAGCCAGCAGAGGAGAGGGGCGGAGACTTTCTCTCCCCTACGGAACAGGGAACACGGTCTCATTCAGCCCTCACAATTTCCCTTTTCACCGGTCAGGACCCCGAAACGCATGCTCAAGGATAAGGAAGTAGGTCAAGGTCACATAACTAGTAAGTTGCAGAAGTGGGCTTTGAACCTGAAGCGGATGCTATGGCCCCTGCCCAGGCTCCCCTTCAGGGCTGATGACCCCTCACAGCCAGTCCCTCCCCAGGAACAGCCCTGCCTAAAGGCAGCCACCCCATCCCACACTGGCCCCCTCCTGGGGGCAACCCCAGTCCAACTCAGCCATGCTGGGGAGGGGGAGGGGTGCAAAACTCTAGTCCCTTGCTCCAGTTTGGGACAATTCTGAAGGGCCATCCTGGTGTCTGAGCTTCTGTTGCAACTGTTGCATGTCCACATCTCCCTCTGCCCAGTCCTGCTCCCCTCACTCTTAGAGCTGCTGCTGGGGGGGCACGCTCCCCGATAAACTCTCTGCATGCAAATCTCCCTCTTAGAATTGGCTTTTGGCACATCCCGCCTAAGACCCCTGCACTCCCTACCTCTATGAAATGCTGCCTCCCACCCCAAGCTTGCCAGGATGGAAGCATCCAGAATCCAAGTAGAGAGGGTGAGGCAAACCAGAGATGAGCAACAGCGGAAGCCACCGGCACCCCTAGGCTGGACAGACAGAAGGGCGGGGGCAGTGTTACCTGAGCCCGGGGATCGCCCAGCGGAAGCAAGAACCACAATGGGTCACGGCAGGTCCGTCTGGGAGGAGAAAACCTCTCCTGGAGACACACAGCCCTGAAGCTGGGAGTGGGTGGGTGAGATCCTGGCTCCTCCCTTCCTTCCTCCTTCAATTTTAGGATTATAGACTACTTACAAGCACACAGAGTGTATACCCAGGTTTAAATTTGCACATATTTAGGTACTATTTAAAACTAAAAATTTGGGGGCACCTGAGTGGCTCAGTCATTAAGCATCTGCCTTCAGCTCAGGTCATGATCCCGGGGTCCTGGGATCGAGCCCTGCATCGGCTCCCCCTGCTCAGCAGGGAGCCTGCTTCTCCCTCTCCCTCTGCCTGCCACTCCCCTGCTTGTGCTCTCTCCCTCTCTGTCAAATAAATAAATAAAATCTTAAAAAAAAAAAAACAACTAAAAATTTTAAGTCAGTCCAGGTCCCTTTTGAAAGGGAAACGTCGCTGTAGAATGATATGCTCCAGGAGCACCCCAAAGAACCACCAGCTGCAGCCCTAGCCCTGCACACCCTTAATGTCCAGACTGTCTATTGCTTTGATTCCCTCTGGATTGGGGGTGGAAAGTCCAAAATTGCCCAGGGAGCCAGAGGATTTTTAGAGCCAGAGGGTCCATCCTATGGAGGGGACCCCATAACTTTAGGGGACCATCACTCCAGGGGATTAAAGTCACCTCCTGGCTTTTTAATCTCAGCCTAGAAGGGGACATGTGGGCGCACAGTCTCCACCTCTGTGGTTCACAGGAGAATGACTGTCTGTGCACATCTTTTAAAATGCAGAGGAGTCGGGACACCTGGGTGGCTCAGTCGTTAAGCGTCTGCCTTCGGCTCAGGTCATGATCCCAGGGTCCTGGGATCGAGCCCCGTGTCGGGCTCCCTGTTCCGCGGGAAGCCTGCTTCTCCCTCTCCCTCTCCTACTCCCCATGCTGTGTTCCCTCTCTTGTTGTGTCTCCCTCTGTCAAATAAATAAAATCTTAAAAAAAAAAAAAAAAGACTTTCTCTCCCTCTGCCCTTCCTCCCCACGCTCACACATGTGTGCTCTCTCTCTAAAATAAATAAATATTAAAAAATAAAATAAAATGGAGAGGAGTCACTGGCATTGATAATAGATAGAATGTGAATATATGTGGTTCGTATCGTGTGGAGGGAAAGAGCCCCCGGCCTGTCTCCAGGGGAGGAAAACAAGGTCCAGTGGAGAGATGAGGACTGAGGAGCCCAGCCCAGCTCTTGGCTCCAAGGAGGCCAGGTCCGGCCCCGGAGACCAGCTGCCATCCGTTTGTTTTTCAGTGGGCTGGGGACCCGGGCTGAAGGCACATCTGCTTCTGTTTATTCTTTCTCCTTATCTTAACAGGCCCCCACCTATCACTCCCTGTTACCCCTCACCACCCCCGGAGCGCACAGGTGCCTGTTGCTGTCCCACGCAAAGACTCTCGGGGCCGGGGAGGGGCAGGGACAGGCTGGAGACTTGGTGTCCTGGGTGAAGGCTCCTCACTAAGCACCACCCCAGGTCAACGGGACGCTAAGGTCAGAGCGGCAAAGGGCAAGAGGAATAAAAGGCCGAAGACTCTCCTCCTGACAAGGAAAGCAGGAAACTGGCAGGTTGCTAGGGACAACTTTAGCTCTTAGCTCTAAGAGAAATGTAATTACATTTAAATTTCAGGTTACACCTAGGCTAATAACAACAACTGGAAATTCCTGTGGGGAGGAGGAAGTGTTCTCTCATGAAGAGATAACAGAGGGTCACTTGCCCTTGAACCCAGAACAGTTTCGTACAGGAAGAACTTCACTCAGATACGGCCCCTGCTGGCCAATAAGGCACCTTTGTGCAGTTTAGAAAAAGGGGCCCCTTCCTCCAGGCAGTTCCCCCTCTCGCTTCCCAGCACCCTGGGAAAGGAGAAGCAGGACACATTACATAATCCTAGCAGCTCTCCCTCCCTCCCTCCCCTCGCCCCCCCCCCCCCCCCCCCCCCGCCCATTCCATTAACCTGGCAGGCCTAAGCTCTGAATAGACCACCCCAGAAGCAGAGAAAACCGCTGGTAGGTGTGAGAAAAGCTTGAAAGGCTTTTAACACTAACTTGGTCCAAAGTCCCTGCTCCATTTCATTCCATGATAAGGCTTCTTGTGGAGTTATAAGAAAGCTTTCTCATCACATTCCAGGCCTGACCTGGATTATCCTAAACTGTGATTACTGGCAATTTAGAATACATGAGAAAGGTACCAGATTTCTCCAGGATTTCCTTCTTTAAATTTTGCCTCATGACTGTCATCTTCAAGCATGGTTTTTGTTTTTGTTTTTAATTGTAGATATCATGAAGTTCCGTTCTTTTTAAGTAGGGTTTTGTTTTGGTTTTGGTTTCGGTAGCAAAATTGGCAATATGGTATGTTGGTTCCAAGCTTGATTTTGGGGTCAGAATGATCTAAGTTCCAATTGTAACTCCCCTACTTGTTCGCTGAGTGGCCCTGTGCAGTTTACTTCTCCACACCCCAGTTTGCTCATCTGTAAAATGGGGATAAGTAAAAGTATTTACCATAAAGAATTGGCCCATGGATTAAATGAGGCGAGGCACGGAAAACCCTTGAGGCTGGGCACACAGCACCTAAGAACCATTAGCTACTGCGAAGCTTATTTTAAACGGGTAAGGAAACGACACCTTACTTCAGGGTAATCGAGAAGGATGACAATGTTTTCTGTCCCTTGGAGAAATATCTGATTCTCTGTCTGGGGCCGAGAAAGTGAAACTGGGGCATCAGATTGTGCCAAAAGACTAGGAAGTGTTCAAAAACATAAGAGATACAGAAGGGATTCTTACTGGCCAAATTTGGGACAGTTTGAGCATCAGGATGAATAATGACTACAATTGGTAACACAACGAATAAAACAAAATCCATGTGTCCATAGTGATACTCCATACAAGAGGGAAAGGAAGGGAAAGAGCTAATAAAAATGGAAGGAATAATAGAATCGGAAATCACTATTTTGCAGCCCCCAATAAAATAAGTGATTTACACAAAGATTATCAACGGAGCCACTGGATAAAAGATGTTCACATCGCCTCAGATGACTTATGTGTTCCCAAGGGGGAAAATTTCCCTTCACAATAGGGAGATCTGGGGGTCACCATCTTAACTGAGCAATCAAACTGAGCATCACCAATGGTGCAACAATTATGTGCCTTCTGATGTAACAGAATGTGAAAAACACAATGTCACCTGTGAATTATTCCTGCCAACGTAACTAACATGAATCTAACCAAGCCTCATGACTATATTCCAGTGTACAGGAAAGATGGACACACGAGAACAAGTTAAGTTATACCAGGAGGAATCAAGAATATATCACCTCACGTGTGTTTCACTGTGACAAAGTCTCTCTCCTCAGCCAAACTTTTGTCCAGCTCCTCTGAACATCTTTTGATTAGGCCTTGACCTTGGTCCCCACTCTGTCCTGGGCCTGCCCAGCCAGTCTTAGCAAAGAATCTTGCTAAATCATCCCCCACCGTGGACATCTGGTCCCCCTTGACTTCTGATCAAGGTCCTCATCCCCCAGCTTTGATGTCTAAGCTCTAAGCTTTTACTTATCCCCATGACATCTGCCCTTGGTACTTGCCCATCCACTGACCCCCTCGTCCTGCCCATTGACTAGAAATCCCCACCTGTCCTTGTTTCAGAGTTGAGCCTGATCTCCCTCCCTTGTTACAATAATCTTGAATAAAGTCTTTCCCATCGTTTGAGAATAATTTTTTCCTTAACACTTCAAAAAGTTAATGTCATTTTTTTTTAAATGACATTACTTTAGAATAAAAGAAGTTAAAAGGACATAACAATCAAATGAATATAAGAAAGATACCATGATTGGATTCTGGCCAAAAAAAAAAAGGAAAAGAAAATCTACAAAAGATCTTTGGAAGACAATTGGATCCTTTTGATTATGGACTGGATATTACAAAATTATAAAATTGTTAGTTTTTGTATAGTGATAATGGCAGGGCTGTGCTTTGTCTGAAGGTTCTTGGGGAAGACCCGACCTTGCTTCTTCCAGCTTTTGGCGGTTGCTGGCAATCCTAGCTGTTTCTTGGCTTAGGACAGCATTAACCCCTATCTCTGCCTCCACAGTCACATGTCCTCTTCTCTGTGTCTCTCTGTGACTTTAAATCTCTTCTCTTTATAAGGACACCAGCTTTGGAGGGGCCCATCCTACTCCAGGACGCTCTCATCTTAACTTGATTACACCTACTTATAAATAGGTCACCTTCACTGGCACCAGGGTTTAGGACTTGAGCCTGTCTTTTGGGGGAACATAATTCAACCCACAACAAGGCTGAAATGTCAGCATGTCTGAAATTTACTTTCAGCTCTTTCAGGAAAAAAAAAATTATTGCTAGAGAAAGAGAGAGAAAGGAAAAATAATTAATGTAGTGAATGTGATCATTGTGAAATCTGGGTGGAAGATATAAGGGTGAGCATTGTATTCTTTCAACTTTTCTATATGTTTGAAAATTTTTAAAATAAAAAGTTGGAAGAAAAACAGATTGCTGACAATTCTGCCGTCCACAACCCTATTGTTTCATATATCTGGGGCAGAGCCCAGGAATATGTATTTTTAACAAGCATTCCCTCTTATTATTATTATTTTTTTTTTAGAGAGGGCGAGAGAGAGAGAAGGGGCAGAAGGAGAGGGAGAGAGAGACTCTTAAGCAGACTCCCTATTGAACATGGAACCCAACTTGGGGCTCGATCCCAGGACCCTGAGATCATAACCTAAACTGAAGTCAAGAATTGGATGCTTAACCTACTGAGCCACCCCAAGAATTCCCATTTTTAATAAGCATTTGAAGGTGATCCTAACGCAACAGTAGGGTTAAAAAATACCATAAATGTTAATACTATACTACACTATTCTATTAAAAACACTACTAATATGAAATACTAAATATATTATAAATATATATAAACACTAAAACACTAAAACACTAAATATATTTTAGGAAATATAAATACTAACTACCATAAACACTAAACACTATTTTTATATTTATAATATTAGATACTATAAATATCAT